AGGGCCTTTTGAAGCTGGCGATTTTTTGTTGGACTCCCCCAATACCCCCACACAATATAAAAAATCCCCAAGCCATTAGCTGCCCCGGAACTTCCCCTTCAGCCACCCCAAAGTTTTACTCTTATTATATAAAAATTCAGAAAAAATCGTTACAATGGCCCTTTGAAGCTGGCGATTTTTTGTAGGACTCATACAATACCTCTACATAATTTAAAAAATCACCAAGGCATTAGCTGCCCCTGAACTACCCCTCCAGCCACCCCAAAGTTTTTTATATTGTGTGGGGGTATTGTATGAGTCTTATAAAAAATCGCCAGCTTCAAAGGGCCCTTGGAAGGATTTTATCTTAAATTTTTTTTTCCAAGTGTAAGTTTTTGGGGTGGCTGGAGGGGTGGTTTTTGTGTTTTGAGGAGCTAATATATCATTTTTAGGGCTCACTGTCTCTATTCGAAACTGAAAAACCATTTTCAGTTTCAGGAGCAAAAAAAATTTTTTTTTGATTTTCGTTCATAAATGAACGTTCGGAACTTCAGGTACATTAAAATTCTAAAAAATTAAATGACAAATAATAAAATTGTTAATCATAGGAGTGTCGTTCTGGTCCCGGAAAACCCAGAAGACATGTGGCACGCATACAATCTCATATCAGAGGGAGATTGCGTCTGCGGATCAACGATCCGCAAAGTCCAGACGGAAAGTTCAACCGGTAGCACCAACAGCACACGAGTCCGCACTACGTTGACAATCAACGTCGAGAACATAGACTTTGATACCCAGGCATGTGTTTTGAGACTCAAGGGAAGAAATATTGTAGAAAACCAATATGTCAAGGTATGAATCATAAATTAAAATTATTTAAATCAAAAAATTACAAATTAATTTAACTTAAATGAATGAATGAATGAATTAATTTTTACTGGTATTATTTCTTTTATTTATACTGTTGCTATTATTTTATGTATTATTATATTTCTCTGTATCTTGAATGGCTACAAGGAACTTTGACTCCATGGTCAACAAACAAACAAACAATAAAAAAAAAAATAATAATAATAATAAATTATAGATGGGACAGTACCACACGCTGGATGTCGAGCAGAACCGTAAATTCACTCTAAAAAAAGTAAAATGGGACTCGATAGCGTTAGAGCGAATTGACACAGCATGCGACCCGACTCAGAATGCTGATGTGGCAGCTGTTGTCATGCAGGAAGGAATAGCTCACATATGTCTGATCACTTCGAACATGACGATAGTGAGGGCTAAGATTGACCAGGTTATTCCGCGCAAACGGAAGGGCATGACTTCCCAGCACGAGAAAGGCTTGAATCGCTTCTACGAGAACATCATGCAGGCAATTTTGCGGCACGTTAATTTTGATATTGTCAAGTGTGTTATTGTAGCGAGCCCGGGATTCGTCAAGGACCAGTTCATGGAGTACATGATTCAGCAGGCGATAAAAACTGATAATAAATTGTTGCTGGAGAACAGGAGCAAGTTCATGCTGGTTCATGCCAGCTCCGGGTTCAAACACTCGCTGAAGGAAGTCCTTGCTGATCCTGCTGTGGTTACTAGGATGTCTGATACTAAAGCTGCTGGAGAAGTTAAAGCTCTTGAACAGTTTTATACTATCTTGCAAACTGATCCTGCGAGAGCTTTTTATGGGAAGAAACATTGTCTCGCTGCTGCGGCTGCTCAAGCTGTTGAAACTTTGCTTATTTCTGACAAATTGTTTAGGTATGTTTTTATTTTATTTTAAAAAGGACATTTATGCGCTACGCTAGAGTCAAATAATCTTATAATGATTTTTAATTTTTTTTTATTAACCTGAAAATTTTTTTTAGGATCTATTTTAAAAAATCAGTAAATATTAATCGTTTATTTGACGTCTACTTTAATAATATAAATATTACAAGCAACCTTGCAGTCACTATGTGACTGCCGTGACTTGTGAACCATGAATAAATAAAATTTTACGTTATTAAATAATGAATTTTGTTAAATTGCACTGTACTTTTTTAACTTTTGACATTTATAAAAATATAAGCTCATGCTAATGTTTCAATCATTAAGAGCTTTCATTTGAGTACCCACATGCATTTTTGATATATTTTTCATATATACAATATATATATATATATATAAATATATAAAAAATATATGAAAAATTGATGTTGGTACTTAAATGAAAGGTCTTGATAAGTGTAATGTTCGGATGAGCTTATTTCTTTAAAAATGTCGATAGTTCACAAGATACAATGTAATTTCTTAATTATTGACATTTTTTAAGATATCAGCTCATCCCGACGATACACTCATCGAGAGCTTTCATTTGAGTACCCACATGCATTTTTGATATATTTTTCATATATACATATATATAATATATATAGAAATATATAAAATATATGAAAAATTGATGTGGGTATTCAAATGAAAGGTCTAGATGAGTGTAACATCAGGATGAGCTTATATCTTTAAAAATGTAAATAGTTTACAAGATAGAAGGTAATTTTTTAATTATGTATCTAGAGATAGAAAATTTTCGAACGCAACCTAAATACTTATAATCACAATAAATTGAATATCGGTGAGAATATTATTAAACCTTGAAAAGACACAAATTCAAGTCAAGACCTTTGTAATGACACTAAATTTCACTAAAAAAACCGATTTTATCATATGACTATTTTAGAAACAAAATTTTTATTATTCTCTTAACAATATAGATAATTTTAAATTAAAAAAAATTGATCTGCCATAAAGTACTATATGAAAAATCTAATTTTAGGTGTCACGATATTGCTGAGAGGAAAGAATATGTTGAGTTGGTTGAAAGTGTAAGAGAATCTAATGGAGATGTTAAAATATTTTCAAGCATGCACGTTTCTGGAGAACGTAAGTTTATTTTTCATTATGTATGAAAAATATAAGTGAAAAATAACTAAAAAAAAAATTTTTTTTATTTCTTCAGAACTCGAGCAACTGACGGGTGTAGCAGCAATTTTGAGATTCCCAATGCCAGAGCTAGAAGACGAAAGCGACGGCGACGATTCCTCTGAAGAAGATTGACAGGAGTATTCCGTATGATAGTTGATTTTTTTGTTTTATAACCGTGGCAATTTATAATTAATTAACTAAACAAAAGTGTCTTAATCATCATGGATTATATACAGTGTTAATTTATTGTACAAACAGTTTAAATAATTTATTATTATCTAAGAACTAAGATCATATATTTGACTTCTTTGTTCCTTTCAGAGTTCTGGTGCTTCTTATAAATAATTATAATTATAGTTAAACTTAATTAGATAGTCTATTTCTTTCTTCTCTCCAAAAGCGAGCGTAATGTCCGTTGGCTTTTATCAACTCTTCATGAGTTCCAGACTCTGAAATATTTCCGCGATTTATAAAAATAATCCGCGAAAATATTCGTGTCGCTGATAGTGGGTCGTGTGTTGAAGCGATACATGTGCGTCCTACTGCTACAGAAGATATTATATCTTCTAATCGCTAAAAAATAATTTAATTTAATTAAAAATATACTAGCAACGTTGTAGTCACTATATGACTGCCGTGACTTGTGAAATATAAAAAATTAAAATTTTGCTTTATTAAATAATTACTTTTGTTACATTACATTGTACTTTCTTAAATATTGATATTTTTAAAGATATAAGCTCGTCCCGATGTTACATTCATCAAGAGCTTTCATTTGAGTACCCACATGCATTTTGATATATTTTTCATGTATACATATATATAATATATATAAATATATGAAAAATTGATGTGGGTATTCAAATGAAAGGTCTCGAATAGTGTAACATCAGAATGAGCTTATATCTTTAAAAATGTCAATAGTTAACAAGATACAAGGTCGTTTCCTAATTATGTTAAATTGCACTGTACTTTCTTAACTATTGACGCTTTTAAAGATATAAGATCATCCCGATCTTACACTCATCAAGAGCTTTCATTTGAGTACCCACTTGCATTTTTGATATATTTGTTATATATATATATATATACATATAATATATAAATATATGAAAAAATTGATGTGGACATTTCTTAATTAAGTATCCATGCACAAATTCAAGACCTTTGCAATGACACTAAACTTCACTAAAAAAAACCGATTTTATCATATGACTATTCTGGAAACAAAATTTTTCTTCTCTTAATAATATAGATAATTTAATTACCTGCTGAGCTTCTTCAGTCTCGCATTTTTTTAGATTGTCAAACAGAAGAATCCGTGGATTTCTCACAAGTGCTCTAGCAAGAGAGAGTTTTATTTTTTGACTGGTCGTTAATATTATTTCCGAATCATCTAGTACTGTATAGTATCCCTAATTGTAATAGATATTGATTAAAATTAATTTATTTTTCAGTTTATTAATAAGTATTTACAATTAACAAAAAAAGAAATACTAACTTTAGGCAAAGAAGATATAAAGTCATGCAATGCGACTTTTTTAGCAGTAGCAATAATTTCGCTGGCCAACATTTTACGATTTCCACCGTAAGAAATATTGTAAGCAATTGAGTCATTAAAAAACCTCGGCTCTCCTTCTACAAGACCCATTTGCCTCCTCAGCTCCTTAATATTAACATCATTCAGCTGCTGATCATCAAAAAACTGCAAAACATAACTCATACATAACCTAATTTAAGGTTAGCGAAAACAATAATGCTTACAATGTCTCCAGAAGTTATTTTATAGAACCCCAACAACAGTTGAATAGGTATAGACACTCCAGAGTGCAATCTACCGACAAAAGCAACAAGTTCTCCAGGTTTGATATAAAGATTCATTTCATACAACTTAGGAATTGCTGCGTAGTAAGAATGAACAAATGATACTTGTTGGAAAGTTATTCTTCCTTGCAAATCTGGTACCCTAACCCCGCTTTTTACTTCCTTAGAGTCGTCTAGAATGTCTACGAAATTAGAAGACAGGTTCATTTCATGGGACATTGACTCCATGGGCAACACCAAATGGCCGACTAATAAAGTTCCTAGAATTATAGCTTCCGCAACTCTAAAAAAAAAATAATAATAGGTTATAATTATAGCCTAGAATTATTTTTAAGGAATAATTACTTGAAAACAGTTGTTGAATCAATTTCATTTCTGTTTAGCATGTATCCGCCGTAAAATACCGCGACCGAGTATGCAAATTGAGGTAATGCAACGCAGCACCCATAAATAAACGCCTGTAGCTTAACATTGTTCTGGTTACTGGTTATTAAATTATCGGCATCATCGTCCAAGTCTATAAATTTACTCTCTAGATTTAATGCGGCTATTGCTTCGGCATTTCTCGTTGCTTCAATTATCATCTGGAATAATTAAAACATTAAGTTTGAGTTTATTGTTTATCAATAAATTAACAGACCAGAGGCAATTTTTTATTTTTATTTATTTATTAAAATTAATTTAGCAAATATTAAATAATTTTTTTAACAAATAAATTATGGCAAATAAAAAAAAGAAAAAAGTTTGAGAAATCCAAAAGTGCACGCCTCATAATCTCATATTTTAAAATAAAATTGATTAAAATAAAATAATAAAAAACAGAAAACTTTGCTATCCCTGTTTAAAAATATTCATTGAAAAAAAATTTTAAAAATTCGTTCTATGTAAATTGTTATATATCTATAGATATATACTGAGAAATTAAAATCAATTGTAATTATTGAAAAAAATTCAAATCTTATGACAGTGAATTTTTTTTCCAACGCTTCGCTTATGAGGCGTGAAAAAAATTAATGTGTAGAAATTATGAAAAAATAAAAAATGCAATTTTTTAAAAATAATTTTTTTCAAAAAATTTATTTGTTAAAAAAAATTGAAAAATAATTAAGTGATTGCTAATTTGAATGTCATTTACTTATGAAAATTAATCTAGTAGATATTTGATGATTTTAAGTTTTTTTTGTTAACAAATCATGGCAAAAAAAAAATTGATGTGTAAAAATTTTAAAAATTAAAAATATAATTTTTTGGAACAAATTTGGTTGTGAAAAAAAAAGTGGTCAAGCGATATAATAGTAAAGTTAGCCGACATTTTTAACTTTTTGATTTTGCTTTATTATTTATTAATTTAGAACTAAAATCTTTTTAACGTGTTCTATAGTTATTATTATTTATCTCATAATGCTTTTTATACATAATTTTTTTCGTTTAAATAATGAATTTAATTTATTTAATGTATTATGAATTGAATCGCGCTTAAGGCATGCATTTTTTTTTTATAAAATTGCACTTACAGTTTTTCAAATTTTTTACAAATGACCTTTTTTAATTTTTTTCTATAAAAATGATTAGGAAATAGCTAACTTAATTTTCATTGAAATTATTGCTAACTTTAATGTCATTTTTATTAACATAAATTAGGACTAAAAAAATATTTTTGAAAAATTGCACTTAAAATTTATACATGAACAATTTAAAAAAATTTATATAAATTGTCAAATGTCAGCAATAAAAAAATAGTACCTTTTTAGCTTTGTTAAAACTTGTCGCAACATGATAATTGCGTTCGGTAACCAATCGCTTGTTGAATTGTAGCATATAAAGGGTCATAGGAGTCAAAAAAAGGGTAGCGAGGCCCAATTTCCAGTTATAGAACATCGAAAGGATGATACTGACGGTAACAGAAGCCAGAGTTTCTATCAAAAACACCAATCTTCTAGCACAGCCTTGCTGAGCTTCTGGCGGCTTTCTCAAAACTCCGACGATCTCACAAATAGTCCTCGCTTCTGTATCAAACCACTCCATGTTCTTCTGCAAAATTTTCCTGAAAGTCTCTCTGCGAATCCTGGTAGTAAGTTTGCTGTCCACAAAACTGAGCATCGAGTCCTGGACAATTTTACAAAAACTCGCGACGAATCCAGCGGCGAAAAACATAGTCGTGAAAAATTTGTACCGTTTTAGGAGCTCAGAGGTGTCGAACAGTGCCACTAAGCTCAGAGTTTCTCCATAAAGTACAGTGTACATAGGAGCGTTCAAACCCAGAATTACTGAAGCAAGACCCGCGAATAGTAATTGAAGCCACCTTCGCTTGTCTCTTAGAAGAAATTTTATCAGATTTTTAAACATCATCGTTCTGCTTTCGAGGGTGTAAGTTGAAACATTAGGCACTTGGAGAAACGCTCCCGATCGCCCGATTTGCACCAATCCTGACCGCAAAAGCTGCTGGTAGCTTCGCCCGAAGAAACTTGACGTCCGAGGAAACACTGGAGGACAAGATGGCTGCTTGTCCCGACATTTTGCCATCGTTTCAACTAATTAAAGAATTATTAGTTATTAGAAAGGCTTCAAACTTTTTTTTTTAAGAAACAAACCTTCAAAATTATCAACTGTTCCGTCTTTTTCAATAATTAAACTATCAACTTCCGGATTCGTTTGGACCATTTGTCCAACACTGTTAAACTCTTCTATTCTTCCATCAGTTAGGTACAAAATTTTATCAACTTTTTCCAAAATTCTGGGATTATTTGTTACTATAATTATTGTTAGTTTTTCATAAGTCTGCAATTGGAAAATTAATATTTAATAAATTATTTTAAGCCTTAAACATTGATATGATAAAACTGACTAAATTTTGTTGATTTAAAATTATATACTATTGATATATGAACTTGGTGGATAAAATTTTTTACAACTCGTGTATCAGCACACACACTTTACTCGTTGTGCTAACACTTCCCTACTCTAAAACTCGTCCAGTTAAATATTTAAATAAATTACTAACAAACCGTGCCACAAAAAAATTGAAAAATAAAATATATGCACAGTAAAAAATTTTGCGTTAAAAAAATTTTGTTGATTTAACAAAGTGTTAAATTTACACATAAAAGTGTTAAATATTTAACACAAAATTTTTTACCTGTTTTAAATGATCAAAAATGAATTCTTCATCAACAGAAGACAAAGCTGACACTGAGTCGTCCATCATCAGAATTTCAGGTTTGCGGTACAAAATCCTGGCTAATGCAAGCCTCTGTCTCTGGTCAACCTGTAAATCCCAGGTCAGTGGAGTGTTATACTCCAATGGAAGTTCTGAAATCAACGAATGCATTCCTACTATCTCAGCAACTTCATGTACGCAGTCAAGACTCTTGCAAGTTGTAAGACAGGTGATGCTTTCCAGTATCGTGGTGCCAAAAAGTACAGGACACTGCTGGGCAAACCCGATTTGCTTCCGCAACCAGAATAGGTCAATGTCTTCGATATTCATTCCATTGAAGCTGATCTGGAATTTTAATTAATAACCCTGATTAAGAAATTTAATTTGAAATGATTTAAAAGCATCTGATTTGAATATTATATAGTTATAGATAATAGGGTGGCCCAAAAAAACCGATTATTTTCTAAAAATTTAAATAAGTTTATGAAAATTTCAGTTCAAAATTAAAATTTTGAAAGGTCGCTCATAATTTTTTTCAATTTATTAGTGCATTAGTTTAGATTTTTTCAAGCGACCTTTTACTAATTCAAATTAAAATTCCATGCATTTTTTTTGTATTTAGTACAACAATCGATAAAAATACATCACGAGATGAACTAAAAATCAAGCACAATATAGAAAACATAATTTTTTTTTAATTTAATAATTTTATTAATCAACTGTAGGTTAAGATTTTCACAAACCAAAAAGACCCCAACAGTTTTAAAGTCGGCGATATGACCACAGCAGTTAAAACCGACTCTAAATAATAATTAATTAAAGAAAAAAAGAAAATTATGAGCAACCTTTCAAAATTTTAATTTTGAGTTGAAACTTTCAAAAACTTATTTTTTTTTTTGGTCTACAAAATTATACCGTAACGAGAAAAAAAAATTTAAAAAAAAAATTCGATTTTTTAAATTTAAAAAAATTTGGAGCGACTTCTTAAAAATTTTTTTTTTCAGCTGTCCTTTGGAGAGGGCTCTTAAAACATCAAAAACTAACATTTTTTCACTCGAGACCCCAAAAAAAATAATAGTCTGTTTTTTTGGGCCACCCTAATAGATATACAATTAACATGAAGGTAATAATTTCAAATCATCTCTCTGAATCAGGAAATTTTAAAGATTTATTCAAAATTATTTTTTGTGAATACTTTTCCCCGTTGCAGAAAATGAAATCGATGAATTAGAGCCAGTAGAGTTGTCTTCCCAGAACATTGGGGTCCAAAAATGGCCACTGTTGTCCCTCGGTCAATTTCAAAGGACACATTTTTGAGTATCTACAAAAAAAAAAGTCTAATTAATAAAATAAAATTACATTAATTTTTTCCTTACCGCTTGTCCAGTTAATGAGTATCTAAAAGTAACATTATTGAAGACAATAATCCTAGAATCAGCATCGTTTGGCTCAGCGCCACCTATCTTCAGCGTCCTTTTACTCATAACCAGAATTTTTCTCGCAGCGATGGTTGCTTTCCACATAAAATTTATATACAGAGGAATTTGGAATATATAAAAGACAGCTATGTGGGTGGAGAACGAGACAATAATTAAAGAAGCGACGGAGTAGCTCTTGTTGATTCTCAAAAACTGGACTCCTTGCCAGAAAGCGAATCCATACATCCCGTAAATTATTATCCAGAGCGTGGCGCCAGTTATGGACAAAATGGTTCCTTTTAGAACATCGCACTGCTCAACTGGCGCCAAATGGCTGATGTACTTGTTGACTTCATATTCTTCTTTGGAGTATGCGCACACGCATCTCATGTGATTCAAGGTCTGTCTTACCATCGCCTGGGCTGCTCGGTAGTGATGGGCTTCTCGTTTTTTTATGCAATTGTTTACTCGACGAGTTATTACAATTATCGCAGATATTACTGGAACAACTGCGATCAGCGTTCCTGCTAATTGGTAGCCGTAATACATCGCTACTAGAGTACAAGAGGTTATTGTTGATAGAGTAGCGATAAAATTACCGACTTTTTCATCCAAGCCTGTTTGCAAGTACCCGATATTCCTGTAATTATTAAATTTATAAATTAATAAAATTAGTTTTTTAAATTAAATTTAGTATTAGTATTAGTATTAGTAAGTCTAAAATTTTTGCCAAAAATATTAGATTTAAAAAAAAAAATTTTTATGAAAGATTTAAGAATGTATAATGAAAATTTTACTTTTAATACTTGTTATATACCAATCGAATTGTTTTTACATCCTCTATAAAGTTTTCAGGCCAAACAGTTGATTAGTTTATTATTTTTATAGAAATTTAGAATTTTTATTGTTACATTATTATTATTATTATTATTATTATAATAATAATCATATATTATTATTATTTATTATTATTACAATTATAATTATTATTCTCATTCTCATTTATAACATTTTTATGATCATCAATATTACTACTTATTATATTATGTATTACTTTTTTTTTACTTTTATTGTAAATGTACACTCTGTAAATGTCCAAATGTCAAGATGAAGTAAGAGTAAGTCAGATTAGGTTTTAAAACGTTCGATAAATTTTTTTCTTATGATTTTTATATATACCAATAGAATTGTTTTTGCATCCTCTACTGGGTTTTTTAACCAAAAAGTTGATTAGATTAGGGGACGGACGGGTAAGACGGAGAGGGTGGGTAAGATGAATAATCGTTTCAAATCGCTGGTCGGTCGATAGAAACATTTTAGACTGCAATCTATCAATCTATTATGTAAATACACTTACCGTTATCGATAAAGCATTGGTTTTGCATACTTGTGGGAATTTTTTTTTATAAATATTGAAATTTAGGAAAAAAAATAAAATTTTAAATCGTAAGTATACAGTAATTATTTTAATGTTGTTAAGGATGATGCAGATTTGATTTTTTTCTTCATATTCAGGACGCGGTTGATATTTTTGAGACGATTGTTTCGATCGAAATGTATTTTCCAATCAGCTTCTCGTTTTACGCTACCTGAGTATTCATTTTGCCCGCCCTGGTAGGGCAAAAGGGATAATTTTGACTTTTTTTTAATTTCCCGCTAAGAAAATCGAAGATTTTCAAAAATCGGGAAGTTATTGTTTTCACCCCGTTTTGCAAAAATCGAGTTTTCATCAGATCTCGACGTTTGAAGGTCACAGGAAGCTTCCCTGACTATCCCCGCGAGGTTGTCACTATGTCTGTGTGTGTGTGTGTGTGTTTTTTTTTTTTTCCTTAGGGGGGGGAATCCTTTTTACGGATTCTAGGCATAGATGTTGGCCTGGATATGTGGCGACTCGACGCAGCGAATCGATTCGGATCGATAGATTTTGAGAAATTTTGAAAAATCTTAAAAAAAATAAGAAAAAAATCATTTTTGAAAGTGGTTTTTTTGGAATATCTTTTAAACGGCTCGATCAATCAGCTTCAAAAACTAATCCGCCTTTAAGCTTGAAAAACCACGCCGATCGGCGCTAATCCGGTCAAAATCGGTTGATTCGTTCGAGAGATAGCGTGAACGAAAGGAAACCGAAAAAAACCGAAAAAAGTTTTTTTTTCACATAACTTCGATATTTCTTTTCGGATCGTTTTTGGTGAAATAAAATAATTTTTAGAGCTCAAAAACCCACGCTGATCGCCGCCAAGAACGTAATAATCGGTTGATTGGTTCGAGAGATATCCTCGACGAAATATTTGGAAATAATGATTTTTTCAACATAACTCTGACATTTTTTGGAATAACTTTCAAACAGCTCTAGCGATCGATTCCAAAAACTAATCATCTCTTAACATAAAAAAACCACGTCGATTGCCACCAAGCTGGTCAAAATCGGTTGATTCGTTCGAGAGATATCGTGAACGAAATAAAACCGAAAGAAGTGTTTTTTCGGGATTACTCCGAAATTTTCAGTTCGATCAATTAAAACCTGAAAATAACTTATGAGGATAATAAAACTGCGTTGAATAGCGCGTGAAAATTGGTTGATCCATTCAAAAGTTATTGCGGTTTGAAAATTCCAAAAATAGTGTTCTATGAAACTTCTATCAGACTTTTGAGCTGGGAGAGCTCAAATGCATTGAAATATTATTTCTTTGAACTCAGCGAGCTCAAAATATCACATAAATTATATTTTGAGCTTAAAAATCTCAAAAATGTCATAAGTACAATTTTAAGCGCCCAGGAATGGAATTAGCGGGAAGTTGCACGGATGGCCTTTAGGGTGAACCGTTTTTCTAATTTTTTTTCTTGGAATTAAAAATAATTAAACTTAGGACATAATTGAAAAATTCTTCATCAGCGTGATGATGGTCCAGCAGAATAAATATTTAAATGAAAATGAAGTTAGCTGACATTTCAAAATTTTTAGGAATTTTTTATCGGAATAATTTCAATTAAACAATTAAAAAAAAAAAAAATATCACATGTTAAAAACTTGAAAAACTATAAGTGAAATTTTTTATAAATATCTTTTTAGTTGTAATTTAATTAAAAAAAAGAAAATCAAAAATTTTTAGACGTCTGCTAACTTCAGTGTCATATATTTAACAGCATATGAAACCAAAATTAGTACACATTTTTTAGGATTTTTTTTATTAAAAAAATTATTACAAAAAAATAAAAAACAATTCCAGATTTTGAAGATTCTAAAAACTGTTAGTGCAATTTAAAAAAAAATTTTCTGGTTCTCATTTAATTAAGATCAGATTTATACTACATACTCTGCAACTTCCCGACTAAAGGTGATCTCAACATTGAAATTCAAATTCGTACAGACCGGGGCATCTACCGGTGACCCCCGGGAACTACAGACACACAGCTACTCCATTACCAAGTACCGCGGCCGAATGGGAAAGTGCCCAGAGCCCAAGGAATACTACTACTACTACTACTACTACTACTATACCAACTCACATAAGTGGTAAAATTATTGTTGACAAATAGTCATAACCCAAAAGTTTCTGATACACCGTACATCAGCTCATTTAAATGGAAAAGTTATTATTGAAAAATATTCTCAATGGTGCAGTTTCATTGTTTATTGATGTAACACCTAAGCATATAATTGCATCTATATTATTGTTTGTATTGAAATTTCGCTCTCGAAAAATAGTTATGTCGAACGATGATAAAAAAAGTTTGATTCATAAAGAAGAAGGTTATTCCCGTTCAGAGGCACATTCGATTATTTATACATGGACAATTGATCAAATATCTACGTTTATTAAATCTGCCATCAGGAATGAAGAAAAAGCAGAGGTTGATATAAATTCTCCGAAATTTTCAACTGGTGCGACGATAAAAGATTCGTGGTACTTAAAACTTATAATTAAAAGAGATGATGATGGATCAAAAAATAAATCATGGGTATCAATTTATCTAAACTCAAGCAATGAAAATCGAAAAGTTCGAACGAAGTATTTATTATTTTTTCTAAATAAGAAGAAGAAAAAAATACTCAATGACTTTCAAGTTTATAATCAATCATTGGATCATTATGTGAGCTTCCTTTTTGACAGTTTAAATCATGGGTACGGTTATCCCAAGTTTGTAAAAATAGATGAGTTGTTAAAAAAAAAAAATGAATTTTTACAAAATGATACTTTGACAGTTGGTGTCCATCTGATTGTCTATGATGATTATGTTGCGATTAGTCATCCGATAAATCCATTGAAAGCGTCAATACGAAAATTAAGTGACGACTTTGAAGACCTTTTTAAAGCTAAGAAGAAATGTGATATCAAAATTAAAGTCGGTAAGATAACATATGACGCTCATAAGCTCGTTTTAATCACACGTAGCTGCGTGTTTGATGCCATGTTTTCACATAATATGGAAGAGAACAAGAAAAATGAAATAACCATACCAGATGTTGATCCTGAAGTTTTCAAAAAAGTTCTTGATTACATTTACACAGACAAAGTCGACGATCTAGACACTTTTGCTGAGAACTTATTAGAAGTGTCCGATAAGTATCAACTTCTAACACTCAAAGAAATCTGTGAAGAATATTTATCAAAAACTTTATCTGTTGAAAATTCTATCAGGATACTGATTCTAGCAGATCGTCACAATTCAAAAAGATTGGTCGAATTTGCTAAAAATTACATAGTTACCACGTTGGCTACTTTAAAAGACACTAAGGAGTATAAAGCACTGGAAAAGTCCCATCCAGCTTTACTTTTGGCTCTATTGGAGGAACGTTTGGATAGGCTTAGAACTTATTAACGATATGTTGCTGTAATCACTTTAAAGTAAAAGAATAAGCGTGTTTTATTAATTAATCCTTTTTTTTTTTTTGTTTTAGTATTGCTATTTGAGGTCCATATTCTTTCTCGTTTGATTGCATGTAAACAGATATCATACTACAAAAAAAAAAAAAGCGACCTCGCAATCTCTATTGGTGTACTTTTGTTTTTATTGTGATTGATATTTACTGATTTCTTTTTTTATTTTAATGTATGATTGAGAATAAATAATTCATGAAGATAACTGGTAGCTTGTATTTTAGTATGAATTTTGTTGCATGGATCAATAATAAATTAAATCCCATAATCCTAATATAAAATTGAGATGAAATGTATGAGGCATCAAACTATTCGTAACGTGATTGGTCAAATATATCATAAGCATGAAAATATATGCAAACTCTATAGTCAAGGCGCGCGCTTGCGCGCGTAAATTTAAATTCTAGTCCTATAATAAAATAGAGATGAAATGTATGTGGCATCAAACTATTCGTAACGTGATTGGTCGAAAATAAATATTCTCATCCTGGGCACTCTTAAGTTGGCGGGGGGTAATTGATTTTTTATTAATTTTTTTGGCTAATTCAATTGTTCTTTAACTGTTCTTCAATGTTTGATCAAAAATTTCTTTTGTTCGTTTTTAGTTTTTTTTTTTTTTTTAATTTTCAAAAATTGACTCTCAAGTTAGCACTAAATATTGATTTTCTCACTTTTTTTTTTTTTTTTTTTTTAATAGTTTATAATTATTTATTCATTGTTCGATTAAAAAAAACATTTGTTCGTCCTTCGTTATCCTGTAATTTAATAATAAACTTTTTTTTATTTTAAGCCAATTTATTTTCACCGCGCATGCGCAAAGGCCATTCGAACCGTAAGTAACCCGGCAATCTTTCAATTGAGATGATACGTATGTGAAACCAATTTATTCGTGATGTGATTGGTTGAAAATATTTATTCTCATTCTGATTGGTTGAAAGTGAATATAATATACATAAATATATCATGACAATAAATATGAGGCGCGCGCTTGCGCGCGAAAATTTGATTCTAGTCTAATAATTAAATTTTTAATGGCTGATTAGTGTATGTAATTTATAGTTTGTAATTTAATACGGCTGCAGGACTGTGTTTCTCAATGGCCGAAAGACAATGAATAATTTGAATGCGATACACAGTGTACACTGAGAAAATAATTACTTCTATAAGAACTTATGTTCTTGACACAAGAACTTATATTTTTGAAAATTTTCATGAATATACTTTTTTGGAAATGTCGGTGCAGTTATAGAAGGTAGTAGCGAGCTCTCAATTATAATATTTTTTAAGAGATCTATAAAAGTCAGTATAATTTTTATCAAGACTTTTTCAAATAATCCTGAAATCAGCAGAGATCGGAACAGTTTTTAGTTTTATTTAAGAAATAAATTAGTATTAAAATATTCATTGAAAATTGCACTTGCAGTTTTTTTTAAATCTCGACAGGTGGAATTTTTTAAAAAGTTTTCGTTACAATTATATAACTGTCAAAAACAATTGTCAGTTATTTAATAAATTCAATATCATTTTTTTACTCCAATAATTTGACATCATTCACTTTATGGTTTTTTAAAATAAAACTGAAATTAACAGACATCTGTCAATTTTCTGGATTTTTATAACAACTAATTGAACAAATTACAAGCGCAAATTATTTCAAACTATTTTTTTTTTTTTTTAATTTATTTGCATTAAAAAAAATTTTCAGGTGTCTGCTAATGTCAGTATTATTTTTAAAAATTAATATTATAATATTAGTTGCTGCATTTATCTTTAAAAATTTTAAGAGCAAAGTTTAAAAAATTATCATTTTAATTTATTCATCATTTTATAAGTAAATTGCTCTATTTTGATTATCTATGTAAATTGATCTAATTTCTTATATGTAAACAAAATTATTAATTAAATCAAATAAAATTTCATTTGGAGTTCATTTTGAAATCCCAATAAATTTAAACATTTTCAGTCGAAGCGTAAATACTATTGACTTGACTATATCAATAATTATTATTATTATTATTCGATTATAATCGAAAGAACACTACTAGTCTTGTATTGGGCTTAGTTACACTGGTTCACACCGTCACTATAAGTTGCAGTCTGTAATACATAAGTGGTAATACGAAAACCGTAAACTAGAGTTCAAAATTAAAACTTATAAAATTTTTTAACAACAAGTAATGAAAATTAAGTTAGCCGACATCTAAAAATTTTTAGAATTTTTTTTATTGAAAAAATTATTTTAAAAAAATTAATTGAAAAAATTTCACTTGTAGAAAGTTTAAAAAATTATACTTGCAATTTTGTAAAAATATTTTTTTTTCTAATTTAATTGATAAAAAAAAATCTAAAATTGTTGAATATCAGCTAATTTTAATGTCATTATTTTGAAATACTTTACCAGTTATTTTTAACAAAACCAATAACTGTTAAAAATATTAAATAAATAATTTATTGTTATCATAAGATTGAAAAGAGTGGATTTAATTGAAGTAAAAAAAGAACATGAAACGCGGTTATTCTCATTCAGAGAAACATTCTATTGTTTACACTTGGGAGATCAACGAAGTAACGTCACTTTTCAATGCTGTTAAAAATTCCATAATTCGGGAAAAAATTTATTCACCTAATTTCTCATCAGGTGCTAAAATGAATGATTCGTGGTATTTACAAGTATGGATAAGCAAAGATTCTGATTCAGCAAAAAGCAAATCATGGATATCACTATATTTAACATCAAGCGTCGATACGAAAGCTAGAACAAAATTTGTGATTTTTATTCTGGCCGATAAAAAAAAAAAATATGTGTTCATAGAATCCGCATTACTACTGTTCTAACAACGCTTTTCGAAAACCGATTCTTCGGATCTTCAGCGAATACTCTGGGTTATGGAAATTTCACCGAAATAGATGAACTGTTGAAGAAAAAAGATGAATTTTTACCAAATGATATTTTAACGGTAGGCGTTGAACTGACTGTCTATGATGATTATGTTAAAGTTAATATAAGCAAATCATTTCATTGATAGTTTGTAAGCGGAAATTGAGTGACGACTTCAAAAATCTTTTGACTTCTGAGAAAAATTCTGATGTAGTTCTTTTAGTAGGCGATAAGAGATTTGATGCTCACAAGTTCATTTTGACCGCGAGTAGCTGCGTGTTTGAAGCTATGTTTTCTTATGATATGAAAGAAAAGAAAGAAAATGAAGTGACTATTATAACAGACATTGATGGTGAAGTATTTGAAAAACTTCTCGAGTATATTTACACTGATGATGTCGAAGATTTAGACGTTTTCACTGAAGAATTATTGGAAGCGTCCGAAAAGTATCAGCTTCAAGGACTCAAAGGAATCTGTAAAGAATTTTTAGCAAAAACTCTATCTACTGAAAATGCTATAAGAATACTAATATTGTCAGATCGTCACAGTGCGAAGCAATTGAAGGAAGTAGTTATTAACTATGTGGCCAACAATTTTGACAAGTTTAAAAATACTGAAGAGTTAAAAGAATTAGAAGAGGCTCAGTTACCTCTATTCGTCGCTGATCTTAAAAAATGTTCCATTGAAAAATAAATTTAGTTGAGGTAAAAAGCTTTAAATAAATTTTTGAATTAAAAATTTTTCAATAACATTTTCAAAAAAGCTTTTAATTAATAAATTAAAAATTTTAAACTCAGTAAATAAAAATATACCTGATACTACTTGACGCCAATTCTTCAGGATCTTGCTGACTAATCCAGGATATATTCTGCTGAAGTATTGCCTTGAACTGTATATTCTTCGCTCGACAAACCTGGTTCAATGCTGCGTTGTTAAAGCATCCAATAAATATCGCAGTAAATACAAGCTGAGCCAGTCCTAGTATCGCTGAAGATATCGAAAAAGTGAGAGCTTGAGCTGCCAGTTCACCGGGTGTTATTTCTTCCTCAGAAATTTTCCGTAAGCCAACTGGTATTCTTGTAGTATCGTTAGAAGACGACATTGTTACGGCTATCTCATACTGAAGAAATACTTCTGCTAAGTTTGCATATAAGATAATTATTCCCGGTGTGCATATTCCCGACAAAATGGCGGATATTAAACCTAGAATTATCTGACTGATGTCTCGGCATGAAGCGAATGAAAACTAAAACCAAAAGTATTGTTATGAATATAAAATTTAATTAATTTAATCAATTAACTAATTACTTGTGGCAGTGTACATTGAATTGGATCAAAATATTCAGGATTATTGACGTTTGTCTTACTTGTATCCATTATATAATTATTTTAATTAAATATCACAATATCACTGCTGATATATTATTTAATGAAAAATAAACAAATGACTATTATAATTGATTATTTCATATATTTATATATATTATATGTATATATGTATATATGAAAAATGCCATATGGGTACTTAAATGAAAGGTTTCGATGAATGTAACATCGGAATGAGTTTATATCTTTAAAAACGTCAATAATGAAGAAAGTACAGTGCGATTTAACAATAGTCATTATTTAATAAAGTAAAATTTTATTTATTTATATTTAACAAATCACAGCAGTCACATAGTGACTGCCCAGTTGCTAGTATAAATAACAACAGTTAAATAATAATTTATACAACAAAACTTAAAATTATTAGTTAAGCAATTGTTGGTAATTAAATCAAAGGAAATGAAGAAGAGCGAAAAGCTAACGGTGCAGCTTGACTGAACATCCAGCGGACGAGGTTCTTGTGACCAGCCAGAGAAGCAGCATGGAGATAAATTCTAAACCACTTGTTGGTGTTGTCAAGGCGGCAGCCGTGTTGCTGAAGAATTTCAACACAAGCCAGTCCTCCTGTCGGGTGTTTGATACACCAGCTAATTGCCAGACACAGTGCGTTTTCTCCGGAATTGGTCGTCAGGAAAGGATCAGCGCCTTTTGAAAGCATGAAAGTCATCAGCACTGAGTGTCCGTGGTTACAGATTCGGTGAAACGGTGTCAGTCCTTCGGGGCCTTGCTTCACGTTCACCAAGTGCGGGCAGTAAGTCAGGATTTCAATGCATTGCTTAGCGTTTTTCTTCAAGTAACATCTCTAAAATTATAATTTTTATTAATATAATATAATAATTAATATATTAATAAATGAATATAATCATTATTATTATCATTTTTATAGACTGAAGAAATTGAAAAGGTAATTTAAATACCTCAGTAGCTACGTGGAGAGCACGCAGTTTTTTTATGTGATTCAATGTTACGTTTCCCTTGATCATTCCATCTTTAATTACTTGAATTTCTTCAGGTGACAAATTTTTTTGCTCAACTGTTTTAGATTCTTTCCTCAGAAATTCTGTGAAAAAAACAAAACAATTTAATGATACTGGAGTTAGATACTGTCCATTTTTTTTTTTTTTATAAACAATCAATGACAAAAAAATAACAATATAAAAAAAAATAACAAAATAACAATATTGTCATCAATGACAATAAAAAAAAATTCCTTAAAAACTTTCTATTAATAATTTTTTTTAGGGCCAGTTTTTCAATCCGAGATAACATTTTATCCAGGGTAAAATTATTATTGCCAGTATATTTATAAACATGAAAAATTGGCTTTCAATGTTTCACATGTGGAATTTTTTAATTAAATTTTTTTTAATAATAATATTATTGCTGCAAAATTGCAAAAAAATTTCTAATCTCAGTTAACTTAAGTGTTTTAAAACTTAACTAATTTTATGATACTAAAAAAAAATTTCACATGTAAAAAACTTTAAAAACTATGAGTGCAATTTTTTATAAATATCTTTTTATTTATAATTTAATTAATAAAAAAAATTAAAAAATTTTTAGACGTCTGCTAACTTTAGTGTCATTGAAAATTAAGTTAGCCGAGGTTAATAATTTTTTTATTTTTTTTTCATTAATGAAATTAGAACAAAAAAATATTTTTTAAAAATTACACGTACAGTTTTTGAAGTTTTTTACAAATAAAAAATTTTTTTTTATTATTTTGCACTAATTTTTTTAATAAAAAAAAGTTCTAAATATTTTTAAATGTCGGCTAATTTAATTTTCATAAAAAATTGACATGTAGAAATTTAAAAAAATTAAAAATGCAATTATTTAAAAAAAATTTGTTTATTAAATAAAATAAAAAAATGATCACATGACTGCTAATTTTAATGTCATAAAATTTTTTACCTGCAATACGGATTATTATGACAGCTACAGTTAATATCAGGATGAAAATTAACCAAATATTCAAGTTTTTCATCATAATTAATTCATTTGATTGAAATAAATTAAAAAAAACCTGATCAATGTCATTTTTAAATGTTTTTAAGTCTTTAACCATTGTTTAACAATAATTAATAAAAATTTTCCAACAATGAAGATCAGCGTGACAGTTTGCTCTAAAATATTTTAAAAGTAAAACAAAAATGTCAGCTGTTCCAGCCGGTAACTCAAAAACTCTCTAGTAGCGCCATCTAGTGGTCAGTATTGAAACTATGAGTGAACTGAATCACCTGAGATTTGCTTAGCTAAAATGCTAAATTGTTAAATTTCCAAGTTTGGATTTGCAATTAATAAACGTCAGGTGACTAAATAAATAATTAATTAATTAGTTAATTAATAAAATAATTATTCTTTTAAGTTTATAAAAAAAAAAGAGTTTAATGATTAATTTTATAAGTAAACATATATTTTTATTTGTTTTGTTTTCGATGACGGCGGACAGACCAGCAATGATGGCTGCGAATAGCTGTCAAACAAAATCAACTTGTTTTATTATCTACCACCACTCGGCCTGACAGTTTTGATCAGATAGTAGATAGTAATCTGTGGTATCACGATGGAAAAATTTACGTGATGGTTTATTGAAGCGAGCGACGTAGTTCCGATAACGCTGACGCTGACGTTTAATTATTTATTGTTAGTAATAATAAAAAACTAACATACTGGGGAGTTATCATTTTTGGTGAACGATGTTCAGAGCTGAGGAGTCTGCAAAAGGTAATTTTCTTCAACAGACTAAAGCTGCCAGGGAAGAAAGGGCTAATGAAAAACGTAAGGAGGCTGCTGTTGTTTGTATACAGGCTTGTGTTCGCGGTTGGCTTGCAAGGAATAAATTTGCCACTAGGATATTGTGAGTATTTTATTTTATTTTGACACTAAAGTTGTCACATAGTTATTTTTTATGAAAATTAAATCAGCTGACATGTAAAAATTTTATGACAATTAATTGAGCAGATATTAAATAATTTTTAGAACTTTTTTAATAAATAAATTATGGCAAAAAAAAAAAATTGACATGGAGAAATTTTAAAAAATTTACTAATTCAATTTTTCAGAAAATATTTATTTGTTGAATAAAATTAAAAAATTATCAATTGACGGCTAACTTTATTTTTAAGTATTACTTTTTTTTTTTAACAAATAAATTTATTCCAAAAAATTATATTTAAAAAATTACAAATGTAACTTTTTTAAATTTCTAGATGTCAATTTGTTTTTTTTTTTGTAATAATTTATTTATTGAAAAAATTCTTAAAATTTTCAAATATCTGCTAAATTAATTTTTATTTTTCTTGATCAATAAATAAACTTAATACATATTTTTATTTTTAATCTTGACATTCGGCACTTGTCAATGAAATTTATTTTTTTTTGTTTGCAGAAATGAGTTTGATACTTATTTTCCAAATGAAACAGCTACGGACACTTCAATAGAGTTGAAGCCAGCTTTACAAGTCTACAAACAGATCTCCAGGTTTTTGATAGTCTTTAAACGCGACAGAGATCAAACGAGAATAGAAAGAATATGCAGGTGAAATTTTCGTTAATTATTTAATAACTAGCAACCTTAATATATTTTTTATATACATATATATAATACATATTTTTAAGATATAAGCTCATCTCGATGTTACACTTATCAAGAGCTTTCATTTGAGTACCCACTTGCATTTTTGATATATTTTTCATATATAAATATATGAAAATTTGATGTGGGTACTCATGAAAGGTCTTGATGAGTGTAATGTCGGGGTGAGCTTATATCTTAAAGAATGTCAATAGTTCACAAAATACAAGGTCATTCCTTTAATATTGACGTTTTTAAAAATATAAGCTCATCCTGATGTTACACTCATCAAAAACTTCCATTTGAGTACCCACTTGCATTTTTGATATATTTTTCATATATAAATATATGAAAATTTGATGTGGGTACTCATGAAAGGTCTTGATGAGTGTAATGTCGGGGTGAGCTTATATCTTAAAGAATGTCAATAGTTCACAAAATACAAGGTCATTCCTTTAATATTGACGTTTTTAAAAATATAAGCTCATCCTGATGTTACACTCATCAAAAACTTCCATTTGAGTACCCACTTGCATTTTTGATATATTTTTCATATATAAATATATGAAAATTTGATGTGGGTACTCATGAAAGGTCTTGATGAGTGTAATGTCGGGGTGAGCTTATATCTTAAAGAATGTCAATAGTTCACAAAATACAAGGTCATTCCTTTAATATTGACGTTTTTAAAAATATAAGCTCATCCTGATGTTATACTCATCAAGAGCTTTTATTTGAGTACCCACATGCATTTTGATTTATTTTTCATATATACATATATATATATATATATATATAAATATATGAAAAATTGATGTGGGTACTCAAATGACAGGTCTCGATGAGTATAACATCAGGATGAGCTTATATCTTCAAAAATGTCAATAGTTCACAAGATACAAGGTCATTTCTTAAATATTGACGTTTTTAAAAATATAAGCTCATCCTGATGTTACACTCATCAAAAACTTCCATTTGAGTACCCACTTGCATTTTTGATATATTTTTCATATATAAATATATGAAAATTTGATGTGGGTACTCATGAAAGGTCTTGATGAGTGTAATGTCGGGGTGAGCTTATATCTTAAAGAATGTCAATAGTTCACAAAATACAAGGTCATTCCTTTAATATTGACGTTTTTAAAAATATAAGCTCATCCTGATGTTATACTCATCAAGAGCTTTTATTTGAGTACCCACATGCATTTTGATATATTTTTCATATATACATATATATATAATATATATAAATATATGAAAAAATTGATGTGGGTACTCAAATGAAAGGTCTCGATGAGTGTAACATCAAGACGAGTTTATATCTTTAAAAATGTCAATAGTTGACAAGATACAAGGTCATTTGTTAATTATGTATCTAGAGATAAAGAATTTTCGAATGCAGTCTAAATATTTATCATAATAAATTGACTATTGGTGGGAATGATATGAAACCTTGAAAAGACATAAATTTAAGTCAAGACCTTTGTAATAACACTAAATTTCATTAAAAAAACCAACTTTTTCATATGACTATCTTGGACACAAAATTTTCCTTATTCTTTTAATAACAGAGATTAATAACAAAATAATGTTAATTATAGGTACCTTGTAAAAACATTAGATTCAGAACAGCCAAAGCTGTCTTACGTAGGCGTAGCCTTGAACAAAGACCACTACATATCCTGGATATCGCAAATGAAAATGATACTGTACCAATGCATGATTGGCCTGGATGAGCTGCGACCGGAGAGACCTACTGACCATAGATGTATTTTACTGCGGCTCCATACTCTGGTGAGCTTTACGTCGGCTGGGACTTGGGCAATACAGAAAGTTAAAGGAATGGAGAAACTTCGAGCCGGTATGAATCAATTGTGTGCTAATATTATGGGGCATCTAGTCAATAGTGGTTTTTATACAATCATGCAGGTAATTTAATTTTATTAATTAATTATTAAAAAACTTATTTTCTAATAAAAATAAAATTATTTTAGACGTTATTAGTTAAGGGACTGGGTAGAGAAAAAATAGCTTTAAAACCACTTGCGCTATCAGCAGCTGTTACCTTGACAATGCGGCCATTGATATCTTCACAAATGTCTGATAAATTAGTATCTTTATTTTTAATAAATATATTTAGCGTACCTGCACTTGTTTATCATTTGAATATTTATTCAACGGAGGTAATTATTAAAGTTATTCTCATTAAAATAACTTTTATTCTCATGATTTATTAAATAATTAATAATTGATGGGTTTTTAGTGCATAAATCTATTTATCAGCCATAATTTATTCACACGGAGTCTCGAGCTGCTCAACTCTGAGCAGAACTTAAGGATAATATTCAATGCATTGGAGGGCAGTTATGCGCTGTGTTTGCTGGCGAATTTAATTCAGCTGGCAAATATCGAGCGGGATGAAGTTTTGAAGGACTTGTACTTTCCTTCCTTCATTTTTGTGGTGACAAAAATGCTCGAGTCGTGTCAGCAGTACGTGGTAGCGAAGCAGAGCAATTTGACTCATTGGCATCCAGTTCTGGGTTGTTTTGCACAAGCCGTTGATTCTTCACTCCACGGAGCCATAACTTATACTAAAATTCAGTTGGCGCATCTTTGGACTGGGAAAATTGTCTCACAACTTATTGGTACCTATAGTATAATATTTCACTAAATTTTTATTAATATTAAAATATAGATTTATTATTTAAGGAGTTATATATATTTAGGTCGAAAAATAATTTTTTCTGACACTTTGAAATTTAATTATAAATTTATTTTATTTATAAATATTTATTTTTTTGCTTCGTAAAAAATACCTAGGCGGCTTCATAAAAAAAATAATTAATTTTCAATGAAAATTTTAGTTTTAAATTTTTTATAAAAATTCAGAATATTTATCAGAAAAAAAGATTTATTTTTAAAAAAATTTTCAATGAAAATAATTATTTAAAAAATCAAAATTTAAAACGCATGTAAAATTTTTTATATTTAGTTCATTAATTTGCCACCAGTGGCGCTCTAGTTATTTTAAATTAACCAATAGAATCTCTCTCGAGTCCGCCATTTTAATTTATACCACCATCTTGTCGTTCTTAAGCACCAGAACGAATTTTCTTTATAAATTCATTAAATTTAATGATAATTAAAAAAAAAAAAAAGTGCTAGAATTATTATTAAAAAAAATATTATTTTTATCTAGGACTGCCATTGGTAGAAATAGTAGAAAAAGAAGTACCAAGTCCTCCAGAACATCAAAGTACATCAGTTGGTACAAATATATTCCGCCGAGCGTTTCTAGAAGCTCGGACGAATCGCAACAACAGTAACAAAAATTACCGAAAACTCGGTAGTCCCGAGACGACAAAAATATCCTTGATATGTTCGTTGTATCAAACGGCGCTGCACACTCTGACACAAATGAAACTGGACATCTTGACGGGACTTTGCTATCAGGACAAAGTTCTCTACCACATGTGGCTGTTCCTTAACACTTTGGGACCACACTGCGGTCTCCGGGCGTTCTTAGACCACCTGGCAGCTAATACCAAGTGCAGCGCGCCGGAATTCCAGATGCTCATTCTTTTCAGCGACTGCATGACCCACTACGTGACGTGAGTGAAAACAATCGACTCTTGCTTATCTTTTAGTAATGTAAATGTATAATTAACGCAACTAGGATATTGGACGATATGGAGATGTACGAGCAGCAAGACCCTTTCAAGCTCACGGATTTTGTTACTATGTCTTATTTTCTTAATCAGTTTTTGTACAAAGCTGTTTTGAATAATCTTTTTGGTAAGTTAACTATTAAAAATTTTTTAGAAATAGACTAAAATAATTGAATATTTTTTTAAAGATATAAAAATATTATTAAGCTGAAAAAAAAAATTTTGAGACTTTTATATTAATAATTAATTCTATAATTAAATAATTAATTTTAAAATACCTTTTTTCTAGAAAATTTTATTTCTTTTAAGAATATAACCTTGTTTAAAATTTTTCACTCCATAGTTTTAAATTTAAAAAACGAAATCAAAAATTGATTTTTTTTTGTTACTGTAAATAAAATTTTCACAACATAAAGAAAAGTTGAATTTTTAGCACAGTCTAAAAAATACATTATAATTTATTCCTACACTGAAAACAAAAATTAACTTGAATTAAGAAATATTTTAAAAGAAAAATTTTTGAATCAAGAAAATAATTTTTAAGAGTTTAATTGTCTTGAATTTAAGTAAAATTTACTTAAATTAAAAAAAATTATGATAAATATTTACAAGTGGGGTCAACCATATTAATTTTCATTTTTTTTTTTTAAGAAATTTCTATTCGATTTTATTAATACATTTTTTTTTTTGAAAAATACATAAAAAAAATGTACAATTAAAAAAAAAAGTTGATATCACAATTTAAAAAAATTTATAAATTTTTTAGAAAATTGTAATATTCAACTTTTTTTTTTTTAAATTGTTCGTTTTTTCATGTACTTTCCAAAAAAATATATATAAAAAAAAATCAAAAAAAGATAAAATAAAATTTTATCCAAAAAGATGAGAGCCAAAATTTTTTCCAACTTTTGAAGGCAAAAAAGCTATTGAAATCTCTATTTTTTTTCTTTCACGACATTTTTTATCGTAAATACGCCTAAAACAAGCAGAATCATAAAAAAAATTTGAACATGTTAATTTTTCACTTAGATATGGCTTTGTAAATAAATACCGAAAATATTATTTGTTCCATAGTTTTAAATTTAAAAAACAAAATCAAATTTTTTATTTTGTCATCCTAAATAAAATTTTCAGAACATGAAAAAAAGTTATGGCCCTTAACTTGAACAAATTTTTGGCCTAGCCTAAAGAACACATAATAAGTACATATAAATACATAATAAATTATTCCTACACTAAAAAAAATTTTTTGAACCAAGAAAATAATTTTGAAGAGTTTAATTGTTTTGAATTAAGTAAAATTTACTTAAATTATTCACTTAATTCAATTTGTTTTTTTTTTTTCTGTGTATAACTTTTTATTTTTCATTACTGATATAAATTTCAGTATCGTATATTGTACGACATACTGAGTTTCAGATGTTACAGATGTCAAGACAGTGTCCAACAACCCTCTATTCACATCTCTGCACACCTTATTAATGGCGATCTACCGCCGAGACTGCCGAAGAACATTTTGCCCCGAAGGTCACTGGCTAGCCAAGGTACAACCTTACCTTCTCTCTCAATATTTCCAATCCCTAAAAACTTATCAAACTTCCAGGAAGTAAGAGTCTCAGGCTTCCTAGCAGACCTCGAAAAAGGCCGCCGAGGAGCAGCACTTCTCCTCTCAAAAATGCCCCACGTGATTCCGCACTCCGAGCGAGTAGTTCTCTTCCGCAAGCACGTAGCCGACGAGAAAGCCGTCTTAGGCCTAACCGAGAGCGCCTGCAACAGTCCATCTTCAACCCTAATTTCCGTCCACCGAACCCGAATAGTCGAGGACGGCTACCGGCAATTAGCAATGCTGCCTCCTCAAGCCTTAAAAGGCGTGATCCGAGTGAGGTTCGTAAACGAGCAAGGTCTCGACGAGGCAGGAATAGACCAGGACGGTGTCTTCAAAGAATTCCTAGAAGAAACAATCAAGCGAGTGTTCGACCCGTCGCTCAACCTCTTCAAAGCCACCAGCGAGAACCGACTCTACCCATCTCCAACTTCCTACATGCAAGAAAACCACCTTCAGTTGTTCGAATTCGTCGGACGGATGCTCGGCAAGGCAGTCTACGAGGGAATAGTCGTTGATGTTCCTTTTGCTTCTTTCTTCGTGTCCCAATTTTCGGGACAAGCTGGTGGCGCCCTCTACAGCTGGCTGGACGAATTAGCCTCGCTAGATCGCGATCTTTATCGAAGTCTGACTCTAGTGAAGCATTATAAAGGCGATGTGAGCGAACTGGAGCTTACTTTTTCCCTAGATGAAGATGTAATGGGTCAATTGGTCACTCATGAGCTAAATCCTGGAGGAAAAGCCGAGACTGTCACTAATTCTAATAAAATTAATTACATTCATCACATGGCGCACTTTAGGATGCACAGACAAATTAAAGACCAGACTGCGGCTTTTACTAAAGGATTTAAATCAATTATCAACCCAGACTGGCTGTCTTTATTCTCGACTCCGGAATTGCAGAGACTTATTTCTGGAGACAATGTTCCCTTGGATTTAAGAGACTTGAGGAGGCACACACAATATTACGGCGGGTTCCATGATAGTCACAGGGTCGTCTGCTGGCTCTGGGATATCTTAGAGAAAGATTTTAGCGAGGAAGAAAGAGGGTTGTTTCTTAAATTTGTAACCAGTTGCTCGAAGTCTCCTTTATTAGGCTTCGCGCATCTAGAGCCGCCTTTTTCGATCAGGTGTGTTGAGGTCGGGGATGATGAAGACACTGGAGACACTATTGGGAGTGTAATTAGAGGGTTTTTTACTATTAGGAAAAAAGATCCGCAGAATAGGTTGCCTACTTCTTCGACGTGCTTCAATCTTCTCAAGCTACCGAACTACCAAAAAAAAAGCACGCTAAGAGAGAAACTCAGGTACGCGGTTACTAGTAACACTGGGTTTGAGTTGTCTTAACGACTGGTTACTAGGGTTGAAAATTGGGGTTTTTTTCGAGACAGATTTTTATTATCACGAATTTTTTTGAAGCTACACAGAAAGAAAAATTTTTTGGAGAACAAAATTCTGGGGTCAAAATTTTCGAAAAAAAAATGATGAAATATTATTTCATCTTCCCATTTGACATTTTAATCAATAAAAATTTACTTCTATCTCTATATTTAATTTTTTGGAACAAGTGGATGAATTTTCTCAAAACAACAAGATTTTTTTGACTTAAATAAATTTTCTTAGATCAAGTAAACCTTTTTTTCTGTGTAGTAATACTCTTCATTCCCTTTTACACTCGAATTTTGTTTTATTTACACTCGGGCCGATTTTGAGATTTTTTTTTTATTGCTATATTTATGGATTATAATGTTATTCGCGTAAAATTTATCTACCTCCGAGTTCTTCTTGGTGCGGGATTGTTTTCACCAAGGACCAATTATTATTGTCAATGTCAAGGTATACATCGACGCTTTGTAAATTGCTTGCCTGTATTTCTGTAGATGTTTTATAACTGGATATTGAAATACTATTGTAAAATTGTTAATAATAAATTACACTTCTTTGTATGTTTAATACAATTATTAATTCGTTATTGAATTTTGTAAATAAAATACTTTTATTCCTTTATAATTTTATAAGATTAGTAATTTCATTTTTAAATATCATAATTTTTTTTGTATTAAAATATGTTAATTTTTTGTTTAATTGTAAAAAATTTATTAATTAATTTTGAGATTATTTTTTTCATCTGAGGATTTACTGTTTTTTGGACATAAAAAAATGATACTGATTAATTTTTAGATTTTTATAACGATTTTGGACTAAAATAATTTAAAAAATTTTAAAATTTCTGCTAATTGTATTATTAGAGTAAAAAATTGAAAAACTAATTTATAATTGTTTTTTTTTTTTATTTTGAATTATTTTATTTTTTACGTAAAATATGGAAAAAATTATCTAATTATTTCTAAATTGTTGATTGAATGTTGAAATTTATTAAAAAATTTTTACACTCTACAAATTGATATTTGAATTAAAAACAAGAATTATTTAATTTTTAGACTTTTGTTAAAATTAAAAAATCTAATCAAAAAATTAACTTTCATAATTTTCAAAAATATATTTTTACAAATTCCCCGCAACTAAGACTAAAATAAAAAAAATTTAATGAGTTAATTTTTTAATTTTTTTATGAAAAAAAAATAATGAATTACCTGATTTATTTATTAATTTTAATGAAATTTTTGTTTATTAAAATTAATAAACAAAATTTTAAATATTTTTGTCTGTTAATTTTATACTCACATTTTTTAAATAAAAAATTTAGTCCAACTCTATGAACATTTTACTGTAAATAAAAACAAAAAATTTTTTAATTTTTATAAAAAATATGATACTAAAATTAGCCGACGTTTAACAATTTTTATATTTTTTTAAACAATTAAATTGCAAGTAAAAAAATTCTTAAAAATAATTACACTGGTAGGTATAACTTTCAAAATTTTCTACATGTGAAATTTTTTCAATAAAAAATTTATAAAAATTTTTAGATGTCAGCTGATTTTATTTTTATAAAATGTTAAATTATCTTGTAAAAAATTAATAATTAAAAATCAACAATTAAAAATCAATAATTAAAATTTAATAATTAAAAATTAACAATAAAAATTATAATAATTATTTTTAAAAATTCTCAAAAAATAAAAAAAAGAAACAAAACATTTTAAATTCAAATTTCCCGCGCGTTGCGCACTAGACCAAAATCTCCCATCTGCGCAGCCACGTGATTCAAAACTTGCCAGCAGAGCGCGCTGTCAAAAATAGAAAGACAATGAGTGTCCACGGCAGAGGGAGGCCAGTGGCCAACGAGCCTCGGTAGTAATCGCTCGTCTCACGTTTCTTCTTCCCAACTCGCCAAGGAACAATAACTATCTATACATCTACATAACACACCACATATATATATATATACATACATATATATATTTATACAATATACATACCCATAAAAGTAAATAATAATAAATCCAGTTAAATAATCCAGTGATAACATTAAAAAATTCCTTGAGAAAAAAAAAATTAATCTCGGGAGTAGTGTCCGCGTATGCGTGAAGAAAATCGTGTTTAAATCGGTAATCAATCAGCTAATCAGTCCACTCCCTCCTATTCCGAGTAGAGTGTTTTCCGCCCAAAAGACTCTTTCTACACCAACGCCAAGCTCTGTCTACACCTAGTGCTCCAGTGAGTCCATGTGCAGAACTATTATTATAAATAAACTATTTAGTGACTAATAAATAGCAATATTAAAAATAAAATAATAATCTATAAAAATAGTGATACTTAAAAAGAAAAAAAATTATTTTATACTTGCATAAAATAATTTAATTATTATTCCACCAGTGTGCGCTACGACGTTTGGTAACAAAACAAAAAAAAACCGAGGACACTGGCCCCAAGTACTTGACAATTAAAATTTTCTTCCTGATTCTTAATTTTTATTTTTTTTTGTCAAAAAAAAAAAAAATAATTAAATTTTGCACCTGGAAAAAAAATAAAAATTAAATTAAAAAAATTAAAGAAGAAATAGTGACTGGTTGATGAGCCGACGGATCAACGGAGCAAATATGCGCGAGTGCTGGCACAGTTGACCTAACCTATGATTCTCCAAGAGTAGAATTGGTTTTATTGAAGAAATAAAATATTTAACCAGGATAGCTTTAATTTGTCAGTGATTTATTATTATAATTTTATTTATTTCTTCTTAAGGACATTTTGTAATTAAAATTACTGTTTTAATTAATTAATTGATCCTCTAGGTGATGTGCGATGATGAGAAAATCTAGAGTGTGAGTCAACTGGTGATAGATTAATTGGTTAGTCATTGAAAGAAAATTTGTGAAGAAAGAAGAAATAGGGAGTTTTGTTGCCTGGTCCTGGTCCTGGTCCTGTTCCTGGTGATCGGTGATTTAGAAGACATCCTAGGGCAGAGGACCCCTAGGAACACTTGATGGCAGTAGTGGGGCCAAGCCGGCACTCGAGAGTGTCCATGAGCGTGTCGATGTCGCTGATGCAGGGGGCTGCTCCAGTCGGTGGAACCGCTGGAAACTCCGGAACCCACGGGCAGCCGGTGTCTAATTATTATCACCCAGCGGCTCCTGCTCCTCAGCCCCAGGAGCCATACCAGCCGGACAAGGCTATTGGATATGGAGCTTTTGGCGTCGTTTGGTAAGTTCTTTCTAATGTATTTTAGTTTTATTTCAGCGAGTTATTCTGGTAAATATTCTTTTGGTAGAGACTTGATGTAGGAAGTAGGATCAGGCCTTTGGGCTAGGCTAATGTCTTCTTATACCTGGGTTCTTTATTCTGAAAAGTTTGAGGCTTTTGAGGAATATGATATTTTGGGGTGTTGATTCTTTGGAAGATTTCGACTGGGTATAATACTAGAATTCGCTTTTGTGATCAGATTTATTTGGAGTTAGGTAGTGGAAAAACATTTTTGAGGGTTTCTTTTTATTCATTATATTTACTAGCTGTTAATAGCAATTTATTATAGTTGTTGATATACTGAGCAAAGATTTTAGAATTAAAAAAATTTTTTTTGACTTGGTAATCAATTAAAATGATTTGTAATTTTTTATTTATTGATTTATTTATTTAAACGGCAATAAAAATTTTATCCTGGATAAAATTTTATCTCAGATTGAAAAACTGGCCTTTAATATAAATAGAATTTTAATAGAAGCAAGACTAATATTTACAAGGAAAAATATTGCAGCATTTTTAAATTACAAGATTTATTTCAATTTAACTAAGAATGTTTTTTAAATTATAAATTTTTTAATTCGGAGAAGATAGGTTTTTAAAAGCTGCAGGAAATTTTAATTCAGGGTATTTATTGCAGAAATTGCAACATGACATTAAAGTTAGCAGTCTTGATTATTTTTTAATTTTTTTTTTAACAAATTTGTTTTGAAAATTTATTTTTAAAAACATTGCATTTATAATTTTTGAAATTTTCTAGGTATTAATTTTTTTTACCATAATTTATTTGTTAAAAAAATTCTTAAATTTATTGAATATCTCCTAAATTAATTTTTATAATTGCAACTTTTGGCTCACAAAATATAAAAAAAAATTTTTTTTATCAAATGATCTTGAAAAATTGATTTTTAGAGATTGCAAATTAAAATTTTGCATTAAAATAACGTGAAAAGTATTTTTAAACTTTAGAATTTTATATTTCATCCTATAAGCAACGTAACAAAAAGTTTGGTATAGATTTTTTGTAGGAAATTGAACGATTTACAAAAAAAGTTTTATAATTTTTTAATAAATTTACTTTTTCAAAAGTTATTCAAGGTTTAATTATTTATACTATTTTAAATAGTTTTTTTTACTAGTCAGCAAAATTATTATAATTTAAATGTAACTTTTAAGTGTAATTTTAAAAATTTTCTTTTCTATAGAAATTTATTTTTTTTTAAAACTATGGGATGTCAACTAATTTTAGTACCATGGATCAATATTCGTGAATGTATTGGTAATAGCAAAACTATAAAAATAGAATCAAAGAGTTGGAATTATTATGGAATCATAAGTTATAAGATAATTGTATAGATAACTATGGTTCACTTTTGCTAATTCGATTATGGTTGAACATTTGTTGGTAATTCAATAGTTTCGTACTTTAGTTGATAATAATTGATTTATCAAACATGAAATTTCAAAATTTTTATGCATACATTTTTGTAAATTTCATTTTCAAAATAATTTATATAATCACAAATAAAAATTCCTGGGAAAAGTTTAGTTTTACAAATTATAACTACGATTATCATCCATGATTTATAAACAATAATGAAAATTATCAGGAACTTGGACTATAAAAAATAACTCAGCGTCAAATTTTTTTTTTTTTTTTTTTTTTTTTTT